CCCCTCCCCACCTTCCCTCTGAGATCCCTCAGTCTGCTCCATGCTTCTGTCTCTGGATCTATTTTTAAATAGCTCTAACCTGACATAGGTATTAAAATGCTCCATTGATTTAATTGCAGATTTTTTTAAGGGGAATTAAGGAATTCCACATTTGCTGTACTAATGGGTAACTTGGAATGGAAATACAGTATCCGTTTTAAAAGCAGTGTTTAGTTTTATTTCGGGTGTCAGCTTAATGGGTGGCCCCTATAAAATTGATTAAAATGTAGGCTGTTTGATTCAATTCTAGTACTTAGAGAAAGTTTAAACTGGGCACTAGAAATGATTGGTAGGGGGAAAAATGCCATCATTCATATTAGCAATTATAAATATTCAAGTAACTAAGTCCCTCAATTGAATACACTTGTTTTGGAAGAAGAGATGAAATGAGAACACAGGTCTACATGAGGCATTCAAAAACAGCCTTAGAAATTCACGCAGAGTCAGACAGGTATCCCTTATTTACAGTCAAGTTAAGAATCCACAAGCATTAGCATCTTAGGGATGATTCTGAACAATTCCAAAATTGTATACCCTCACCAAAAAGGTTAAGTGGGCATTTATAAGTTAGTCTAGTGGGAAATCTTATCCCCTAGTCTTCTAGCCAATCATTTCCCCACCTTACTCTCTAATTATACTCGTTTATTTGGGTTTTGTACAAAAATACTGCTAACATAACTTGTGTTCCTTACATTCAGATTTGATGGTGTTCATCAATACGATAATTGGTCACATACACGCACTGCATGCATGAACAAGTCTTGACGTTCCCATAAGGCAAAATTTTAATTGAGTGAATTCCTTACAAAAATAAGTATATTTCTTGGATCCCTGCCTTTCGAATGCCAATATTTCACTATGCTCAAGAAATAAGGAATAACTTTATTATAACCCAAAGAAAAGTAATCACAACTAATATATTTACTTAAATATATATTCTCTCTGTATCAATTACTTTTCTTCTCCCCTCCTCTCCCAGTCCCCTCTATTTCCTCGGCTCTTCTTTCTCCCTTACCCAGCATCAGTGTTTGACTCCTGGGGTAGGGAAAAATCATCCCGCCATTCATTTATTATGGCAAAATTCAGTGTCATTCAAATAAAACAGTATATGGGGTTGATTTGCAAGACAAGTGTGTTATAGTAGAGTCACATCCATTTATTCCCCTTAGGTTTTATATCATAAAAATCATGTTTTTCATTTCCAGTCGGCTCTTGGAAGACAGTAACATATGCAATGAGACCTATAAGAAAAGACAGCTCTTTCGGTTGGTATGGTTTCCTTTTCTAAAACTGTGTTTTCAGATTATGTGGCAGAATCAATGTTAAATATAAGTATATTTGTATAAAATATCTCTGTTCATGAAACAAAAGATGTTGGGTTATCTCTTTGTAAAGCTTGTTACAGAGCTGGTTGAAGCCATATTGGATAACGTGAGATACTGGACCAGGAGACATTACTTTGGATACAATCCTTTAGGCTTCTTCCTCTGATTTTCTGGTTGTTTTTATTTTCTCAAGGGCTAGCACAGATTTAGCATTCCCAAATCAACTTTGGTGAATTACAGAGTTAGAATTTCTCTGACAGGTTGCAATTGTGTATGCATTCCCAGCACTGGAAACAAATCAATGATAACTCTATTTGAGTGCTTGATTTTTAGCTATTACCCATCGTACTATTTCAAACAGGATTTTTTTTCAAGCATATATTTTATTTCTAAAGGGAAATATGAGATTGCTTCCAATTAGAGTGAACTACTTAAATCAAGATCTTTGTGGGATATGGGTAACAGATGATATGTGTGTGTGTATATATACATATACACACACACATATACATGATTATCTATAATATATAATATTAAATTATACAATATAATTATTATAATTTAGTAACTATATATAATATTATATACTTTTAAGCTATAAACTTGTCTGGAAGCTCCATGAAAACAGAGGGATCACACCCATGTTCTCACTACTCTATTAAATGTATCTCTAGCATTCATTATGAAACAAAGGATATACACAATCCTCTTTGTATACTCAATTCCTAACACATATATTAATACGTTAGTGCTTTTGTGAATATTAGGACTCATCTCTGTTGTAGGACAGGCAAAACAAACAAACAAATAAGTAAAACTCTTGCCCACTTAGAACAAAAAAGGACACCAAGAAAAACAGATGGATTGTGCGCTTAGAAAGTATCTTTTTGCAGTAGATCTGAACTTAGGACCTCATCATTGGAAAAGGGAGAGTCATTTGTTCCCTTTACACTGTGGCTGAAACCAAAACCAGGATCTTTTTTTTCACTTCCTTCATATTTCTAGGTTGACCTGCACAGTCTAATGCCCTCCGCTTGCCTAAGTAGGTGCTTCTCACTCGAAGGTTAAGACAGTAACCTGCCTCTTGCCCCGAAAGCCCGAGGAGGCTGGCATTGACCCGCGCTCCTGCACGCACACGCCACGCCTGCTTGGCTTCGGCAGTCTGGCTACAATGTGGGCTCTTGCCCCTTACCGACCAGTCAGTCTCACACAGCCCCCGCCTGGTCCCTAGCCAGGGCTGCCACCCCCTCAGGTCAGCCACCCCAACACGGACACCGTGCCCCCCAAACCCTGCGCGCAGGAACTCGGAAGACGACCTCGCACAGAGCCACCCGCGCATGGTAAAGCGATTCAGACTGTGCATCAGACCGAGCGTGAGTCCAAAAAGGTCCTGCGCAGACACTAAGGAAAGGAAATGGTATCAGTTACGTTCATCAGCATAGAAACAGAACTTAGAGTCGGTGCTTGATAACTGCTCTAGGGTCGACTTCTAGCTCTGCCCAAAGGGCCAGCTCCTCCTGATGACCAGACCGCTCATTCCTACTGTCTCCCTGGTTTCCAGCAGCAGGGGACCAGGACTGCACTTAGGAGGGACGGAAAGGCTCTGGAGGGTATTTTTTTTATGATGCCACACCCCAGTAGATATGAAATTCAGTTCTGGACCTCACCTTGCCAGTGCTGAGAAGAATCACTAGATAGAACATTATAAAATACAACTTCAATGTGTAAATATCTAGATATCATACATTAGAGTTAGACACATTTTGAACTTCATTAATGCTAGGTCTCTAAAGCAGAATTCAAATTCTCTCTTTTAAAAATATATATATTTTTTATTGATTCTTAGAAAAAGAGGAAGGGAGAGGGAGAGAGAGAAACAGCCATGTGATAGCAAAACATCGATCCGCTGCCTCCTGCACACCCCCTAGCAGGGATGGAGCCCACAACCCCAGGCATGTGTCCGACCAGGAATCGAACTGGCGACCTTTTGGTGTATGAGACGAATCTCAACCAACTGAGCCACACCTGCCAGGGCTTAAATTCCCTCTTTCAACATGCACAGATCTTCACTTAGGAAAGATGATTTGTGCTGGTGGAGAAGTAGAAGTTAAGGAAATCTTAGGTTGCCTTATTGGCCAGGGGATACGGCAGAAGTCTATAGGAGCTACCCAATATTCTAGAAACAGCTCTGCCAGAGGGAAGGATGTAAACTACCGCACCCCAGCTTGCACCCAGGAATAGTGGTGGACGCCTCCTTTGCAGAGAAAGGCCCAGCCACACTGGCATTTAGAGGAAGTCTGGATTCCTCCCAGGGAGGTGCAGAGTTCATGGGAAGAGGGGTCACTGGTGCAGAATTAGTCAGGATCACCCCACATCTCCTTCTGACACATACAGGATGCCAAGGTAAGAACCAACTCAAATCTTTTCCTATAATAAACATTCCGAATTAGCTGTAGCTGAGGTTATTGTCACATCCTTTGTACATTTGCAGTTGCTAAGTCATATTTAGGCAGGCTTTGTCAAAGGCGGGTCAAACTCATCCGAATTAAATGGAAAAAGAATGAAGTTGAATTTGGAGGTTGAAGGGGAGACAATCAGGAAGAGAAAAACTGCTCACCTTTCTAGCAGAAAAGGGTACTTTTTTCCTCCAGGTTACCTCCTCTGGCTTTCTTAAATTTCAAAGGAGTTTAAGAACTAAAGTCACCTGGCCATTGGTGAGTGTTTGATCCTTCCTGCTGGCAACGTTGTCTTCTTTTAGGTGGTCCTTGTTTCTAAGACCAGTCACCCTAAGGTCCTGAGGACAGAGAGAATGTTTGTAAGAAAACACTGACCTAGGACAGCAGTGCTTTTTGTTTTGTGAGTCTCTGTTCCACTTCCTTCCCCCCCTTTACAAAGCTCCTATCACAGATGAGCTGCGTCATTTTTGTTATCTTTGGGTCCGGTACCTCCTTCCATTTTCAGGAAATAGAGAGTTTAGTAGATAAAGTTGAAGCCAAACCTAAAATTTTCTGTGTACCTTCCGCACAACTTGGTTGGTGTGTGTTTCAATCAGGTGTGCGTACCTCCAGCCCCCAACGGCCCATTACTGTCTTTAGGAGAATATTTATCAGCAAAGCTCCTAATCCCATCTGTGAGATCTGGATCAAGATCGAGCATGTCACATCGCGCAGTGATATGAAAATAGGGGTTATATCTACTGCCCTTGATTTATGTCCCCTTATTTATAATCCATGGGAATCTAAGAATATTTTATGAGCCATTATTTCCAACTGCGGTAAAAGCTTTGAAAATACTAAGTTACTCTTTAAGCAGATTGGAAACCAATGAAAATGCAAATTTCACCCACTTTCTCTGGAAAAGACATGCAATTTGGTCCACAGCTTAGAGATTCTCTGGAGTCTTCAAAATTCACTTCTGGCTATTGGCTCTCTTCCAACACATTCCCTCCTTTTCTGTTTGAATTTTGAACAAATGTGTTGTTTCACCGGTGGAGCTTTCGTCTGTCTGTCTGTTGCTTTCACCGGTCCCCTTGGCGTGTTTCCTGTGAGCCCGGCGCTTACACTGTTGTGGTCACGAGCGGTTCCTGGGAAGGGCTGAGCGGCTGAACTTGGGGGGCAGCATCCTCACCAGGGCGGCAGGGTCATCCCCCATTCCCAGCCGGCTGTCACAGCCTCAGGAAGTCAGAGGGGCCTCGCAGAGCCAGGGAAGTTAGTGGCTTTTCTGGAACTGTCAATATTCCCCACAGCCCAGCCACAGTGCTGGGGGGACAACAGCCGTCCTCCGGGGCGTTGCTTTGAGGATCACGCAAGGCCACAGGCGGTTCCAAAGGTCGCTTCACTGCTGACTCGGCGGGGAGACTGCGCCTTCCCTCGGCTCGCAAACACAAGCTTCCGATTACACGGCACACCCTGGTTTTCTAGCTGTTTCTCCTTCACCGGCAGAGGGGCCCCGTGACATTGCCAGGGGGACTTTTCCTGTGTGTAACACGTTATGTGAGATGTGTCGCCTGCCTGCCCGGTGGGGTGTCTGTGGCTGTTCGGGAGGCAGCAGGCTCGATGGAGAGGGTTGACTAGAAGGGTCTCGTGGAGACGACTCTCCCGGGAAGGTCCCCCTCTGTCCCCCGCTGCTCACGGAGCGTAACGCTGTCCCTGTGCGTTTTTCCGACGGCCGCGCTCCAGGGGCAACAGAGACGGCTCGGCGAGGACGTGCGGGAGCCGGCAGAGCAGCTCGGAGACCGAACTCAAGTGGCCCGAGCAGCAGCGGGCCTGGAGCAGCACCGACTCCGACAGCTCGGGCC